TTATTACATGGGAAAATGATAAATAGTTATCTTTTATGACAAGTGAAACTGGATTCTCTTCATTGTAATTACGACAGTGAACGACTGAAGTTTTATGTGTTCCATAACTTTTTAAAATTTCACTTTTAACCAACTTTAATTAAGGTTTTGATGTATTCCAATGCGTTTGTAATCATTTTGAACATTCAGATTGATTTACTTTCAGACCATTAACATTTTTTATGATTGATCTTCTTTAATTTATATTAATATTCATAATATGTATGTTAGTAGCTGTTGCCTTTGGCTTTACACGTGTAACTCTCGTGGGTGATTCATTTCTATCGTATAAGGAGCAACCCCAAGGGAAATTGCTTGACTAAAGGAATAAGGTTTCTTTAAAATTAAAAAAAACATACAGTGAACTCAGTAATTTAAAATCAAGTTAAAAAGATTGGTATTAATGTAGGAAAAGTGGAATATAAATTAGATGATTTGAACGCTTGAGTGATACGTAACGTAAACATACAAAAAACGCTACGCTTTCTGATAATTTATGAGCCTTGGACGCAATTTTAATGGAACAGAATTTGTATCGAATATAATAGTACTTCTATTGCTATAACAGGTAAAATATACTCAGTTAATACCTGACCGTAAAAAAATAATGAACCAAAATGAAAAGAAAAATGTTTTTTTCTGTGCATAAATTAAAAAAAAATTGATTTATGAATAAGTGAGAGAAATTTTCTTTTTAATCGATCTATGATAAAGTATCGATTCTTAAACATAATCTACTCGACTGTTTTTGATATACTTGAGATTATACATTACATATAAAAGCTCCGTTCATATCCCTCAGATTTTTTTTAATTATTACAAATAGTATAGCATAAATACGCGTACAAAAACTATTAATTTTTATATTATAACCAAACATTTTGAAAAAATATACGTTAAGATCGGATAAGTACTTTAGGAGTTCACCACGGACCAACATCGTGACACGGGAATTTTATATATTAAGATGGTAAACGTCGGGAACCAGAAATCAAAATAAATCCGCGAAAAAATCGAAAAGATAGTTTTATTTAAATTAGCGGCTCACCCTTGCTTCGCTCGGGTTCATCCCTAGGTACGTTTTAACGGTTAGTGTGCTACACTCCCTTGGGTAGTAGCATGATGATACATAGCCTATAGCATTCCTCAATAGACGGGCTATCTAATGCAAAAAGAATCTTTCAAATCGAATTAGTAGTTCCTGAGATTAGCGCGTTCAAACAAACAAACTCTGCCTCTTTATAATATTAGTATAGAATATAGATGTCAAATGTTCGCTTGAATGTAAGAAAGTATTATATCAAACGTTCAATCTCTTTTATCGATTAAAGCAAATAATCGATGTATCATCATTAAAAATTGTGTGCCATCTGGTAAGCAGGTGGTCACGCGGACCAACCTGAATACCAAACAGTATTTACTCATTGTAACACAATAAATAAGGTATTTAACGGAAATTTGTTTACGTGGAAAGATTTATAAGCTCCCATCAAACGAGGAATGAGTTGGCTTAGATTTACCACGTATTGGGGAGGAATAAATTAATTTATTTACGCATTTTGTTTGATCGCTGCGTTTTGCGGACATCTTTTGATAGTTTCAAGTTTTTTTCCACTGTTGACGGTATAAATGTAAGTATTGTGTATCTTTTACGTATAAAATAGCAAGCCTTGACTTAGTTATATTATAGATGTTAGTAGCTCAATGTCCTTGCTTCGATAAAACTTTTTCTTTGCATTTTCTTATTTTTCACTACGTCTAGCGTTAAAATTCCAATTTCAAGTTTAAGAATAAACTTTTAAGAATTTATTTGATCTGCTTAGTAGAAAAAAAAAACATTTTCTTAAAAAAATATATGAAAGCATGCAATTCTGTAAGTTTTATACTCATTGAACTGTAACAATAACTATGTAGATAGTTCTCTCATTAAAGAAAATATATATTCGCAACTTGTATTTATATTTTTCTTTTGCTTTACGTTTATTATTTTGTATTTTTAGCTTTTACAAATCATTATTTTATGTTATCGACGTAGTATTACTTATTTGATTAAAGCACCAATAGCATCAAATCGTAAATCCCTTATGAAACATTGCCAAATGGATTGACGGCAGCGTTAAATGTTTGTATTAATTTTGATCATATCATATCATTTCGGTACGAATCGTTCTAATATACTGTTTCGTAATAGTTTTATTACAGGCTATTTCTGCAATCACTCTCTGGCATCATTGAGATAAACATATTTGCCTGCATTATTCTATTAAGGCTTTAGCCTAAAGTTAAAATACATCGAATATTTTTCATTGTAATCGATAAACAATCGATATTCGTTATTTGCCTCAAGCTTGTTATCACTTACTGAAGTACATTCAATCGATTTAAGTGTTGTCTTTATGATGAAGTGCAGCCTTCTTGGCAAGGTTGCATACAATATGCATACGACGATTAACCTAAAAACGTAACCTGTTGAGGGTCCATATATGATATGTATGCAACTGAATTGTACGTATCACATAAACTAAGATATTATTTTAGTTTATGGTCCCATTAAATTATAAAGATATTTATATATACCAAATGTACAAGTGAAAATATCTCTTACTGACTGCTCACAAAAAATATTTTTTACCGTAGGTACTTTTGTTAAAATTAACAGCAACTTTATAATATTTTTTTAAGTTTAGTTGTATTATAGTATTACTTATTTAAAATTATATATTCCTGTCTCTCTCATACTCTGGCGGGCCATGGGACGACTACTCGACACGACCAGTGAGAGCTAATAGACCAGGGTCGATAATTTTTGAATACAAAAAAAAATAGAAATTCAAAAGATTTAAGCTTTTTTAAAAGCGAAAGACTCAATAACTAAATTGGGCCCGACCCGGGACTCGAACCCAAGACCTCCGGCAGTTTATGCAACCATACATGCTAGCCACTACACCACCGAGGCAGTTATAGAACATAATAAGAAAATTGGAAATTAGGGTGCAAGCCGTCTACAACTTCCAACAATAAATCTTTCCAATCCAAACTAGCTAGTTTAGTTATTATTTCTATAAACAAATCAATTAATTATAACTTTCAACTATATTTACTTATGAATTACGTTCGAAGTACAGTCATTCAACTGCAGGTACACGCATAATAATTATAATTTCTTATACTTCATTTAGAACCTGTTTGGTCGGCCTTCGCAACTCTTCTCAACTACCTTACGACCTTTATAACACCTAAGTTACATTGTAATGAAAAAAAAAAACACTTTTCACTTGCTTATGTTAGATCTTTAGACCTCAGTGTATTGAACCCATTACTCTAACACCTTTACTCACGACTTGGAATGCATTCAAACCTAACTGACCTCAGTTAAGATTGTATAAATCATTGCTATAAATACTCTTATAGCAAAAGTATAAATAATACTGCAAACGCTTATCACGGGGCGGTACTTTTATCAATAAGGTTACGCCAAAAGGCCGTGCATATTAACAGACATGTAGAAATTATTAAGTCGATAATTAAGTACCTACGTTAAATTTTTTTTTTTTTATTTGAAACGGGTTTTTTCTGGGTCAACGCGTCGAACGGTAATGATTTTCGCAAGGCGAGGAAACGAGAAAAATTCAAAATTACATATCATTATCGTAAATAGCGAAAATGCAATATATTTTATGAGTTGCACCGTTGCTGACGACGATTTATTAACAAAAAAATAAAATTACTTAATATCTCTACGTAACTAAACCAAACTCTTTAACTCTAACTCTATTTCTTCTACTTTATTATAAAACTAGTGACTGACCCTTGCTTCACTCGATTTTATCCCTATGTATCTCTAATCTTTACTAATATTATAAAAAGGTCAAGTTTGTGAGTTTGTGACATTGTATGGGGTAATCTCTGGATCTACTGAACCGATTTAGGTGAAATTTGGTAAGAAGATAGTTTAAGACCCTGGGAAGCGCATAGGATACTTTTTGTCCCGGAAATCACCCCTTAAGGGGGTGAAAATGGGGATGAAAGTTCGTATGGAGAGTCAAGGCGGGGACGATCCCGAGCGAAGCGAGGGTGATTCGCTAGTAATATTATATAACTACAGATACAGACTATTTTGACAAAATTTATATTTTGACAATATTTATATATTGTTACTTCATTATATCACTATGTACTAAATTGCATCGAAATCAATCTAGCTGTTTCAGCGTAAAGGAATAAAAATATACAAACTTTAGTAGTGTGATAATAGCGTGTTGTATACATTACGAGCAGTTAGTGCTTACTGCATTGAAGGTCTCAGATTCGATTTCCGTACGACGTAAAATAGAATAACTTTACTATTTATCAATTCATACACAAATAATATAATTTTAATACCATATATTACTAAAGGTGGTATAAATTTCTAACTCTAAATCTATTTATATATATATTATTTCCATCGTGTTACTTGTCAGTGACAAATAAAGGTGTACGTACTCATTGCAAAATCCCAGCATCAATTAGTGACTTTATCTAAGTCGAATGTTGAAAACATCTGCTCGGACGCGACGCGACGGGTGGATTTCGTTCGAAAAGCGGTCGAGGTAAGTCGCCGAGGAATTTATAGTTTAATGTTCGTTTTTTGTTACCACGTGAGCTTGAATTTGCTTGTGTTAAATAGAAATTAGTAAAAAAAAAACTTTTTTTAGGAGAAGCACTTTGTTGTGGCAATACCATAGTGTGATAACAAAAAATATCCCATAACTTCTTGAGAATTATATATCAAAATTAAGTATATATATCTAAGTAAAACGTAGGCTAACTTTTATTAAATCTAATTATGTATCGGAGAGATGTAGCAAATGAACAGATAGAAATTCCCGTAATTGCTGGAAAAAATGCATCTAAAAATAAGTGACACAAAAAGTAACAGCGCACACATTACACGTGGTCCGCTATAATTAAGCACTTCATAAACCGTTGGCGGACGCGTGAACTTCCAACACTATCAAAGACAACATCCTGCGCTGCGAATAACCAAATTTAAATTTTAAACTTGTGAAGGCTATTCCTAAATAAACTAAAAATAGAAAAATATGTAAAAAGACACGTATAAAATTGAAACCCCTAAAACATATTAGAAAGAAATATATGGATATCGCCCATAGATGGCTAATTTAAATTATTTTTGTTAATCAAACTGACAGACAAACAGACAGTTAGACAACTCCAATTTACAAAACTCTCCTTTTTCGTCGAATAATAAATAACAATATGTTCTTTATAGAGTCTAGATTCATATTTAATAAGCCTACATGTCTTAGATTTTTGATTCAACGGTTGCAAAACCTTGTTTGAAGGTAACATCCTGCAAATACTTCCTTACAATTATTTTCCTGCATTCAATCTCGGTAGGCCGTTTGCAATGCCGAACAAAAACTTCTATTTCTTCCGTGGAACCCAATTGTTCGATTGTTGAATGATAAGTATAATTACGAGTGAAAATGGCGACGAAAGTTTCATTTGTAGACATTTCCTTATAGGAAAATGATCGCTTCACATGAAATGTACGAATCTGAATAGTTAAATTTATAGCATTTTCATAGCGAGGCTGTTGAAAAATTTTGTATAAAATAAAATATTGCGAAATTGCAGTTACGTACGTCTTGGTCGTTTTCGTATTGTGTACACAGTCTCGTATATGACTGAAGGAGCTTAAATGATTCAGAATTAGTGTTCCCACTATTGCATATTAATTTTAATGCAATTAAGTTCAAGTAATACTATAGGTAGGTACTTACAAATAGTATGTAACCGAAGTTTCTATAGAAAATTGGGATTTGGCATGGTTCGGTGCCCAATTGAAACTGCATTCGTGAGCTTTCATGTGCTTTCAAACCCATACATACATATATATATATATATATATATATATATATATATATATATATATATATATATATATATATATATATATATATATATATATATTATATACACAACAACCTAACCTCTTTCTACGAGTATATTAAACAGAAAAGTAGATTATTGATAATTTAAACTATTCATTATTTATAATTTAATAACTGCTTCTATAGATCCAAGCCGACCACATTAGGTTAAATAAATAAAAGCTTCGATTGGTGCGACCGAAAGGTAGAAATTGAAACAATAACAAAAATTTCGATTTTGTTATAGGTACAAGTTTTAAAACTATCGGCCGGACATCTTATAAATGTAACCAATATTAAGTGAATAAACAAAAAATGACGACTACTCTTGTCTATGTCATGCCAACGTTATCACGCAACGATCTTGAATCACGCGGTCAGACGCATGCGCATTTTTTATCTGTGATCGGTCGGACGTCAAATGGGCATTGCAATCTTTAAAGATAACACGAAAACATCACTGGAGTTATTCGAAGGATTCTATATCGAGAAGTGTCAGCGTGGGACCTTTTTAATAAATCTGCGCTGTCTGTCTGTCCGTCCGTACCTTCAGGGGACTATTTTGAAATGTTACAATCCCAACTATTTTCATGTACGAAGTAATAAGGTATCATTACAAGATTTCCCATAAATTATGAGAATTTACTTTTCCTATTGATATAATTCTAAAAATCTAATTGAATTGTTTTGTTCTTTCGTAGTTAGCTTTGAGTACTTACTTAATTTTAACATAATTTAATTGTATACTAGCAGCTCACCCTTGCTTCGCTCGGGTTCGCAAAAATTTAAAAACACAAACAAACATAATACAATCATAAATCCATCCCACAGGAACTGTAAATTTTTTCAGGATAAAAAGTAGCCTATGTGTAATTCTGATGTATGAGCTATATTATTGTAAGTTTTCATTAAAATCCATTTAGTAGATTTTGCGTGAAAGAGTTACAAACATCCAGACATCCATACATGCTCGAAAACTTTCGCAATTATAATATTAGTAGGACTATTTTAAATTATGACCCTTTAGGTGCTTTAGGTGTAAAGGGATCGAATATTTAAATAAAATTCGACATATTACATAAATCTCTAGAAAAACAAATTTTCATTCCCTACACTACATCAAGTGGATATGCGTGATGCACGAACATACAAGGTCAAGAGTTAATCTTATTATAATTTTCTATTTATACTCAAACACACGGTTACATTAAAAGGAGATGTTATTTTATTTATAGAAGCATTGATAAAAGTTTTATTAGTTAGTAGATACGATGTTGGAAAATGCTGTTGTTTTAAGACAGTAGTTCCCATTCATTATTCCTAGATGATTAATATTTATATGTTTTTATTTATTTTTTCTTTCATTATAATTAAAAGTTAAACATATTTTTTTTTAATTATAATAACATTAAAAACCACTGACATTTATGTAATGTTACATTATTCGGTATTAAATATAATAAACTTGAGTACTACATAATATGGTATTGCTCTTTTTTAAGAAAATAATAATAATAATTTTGACTTAAGGTTGCCATTGTATTCGGCCCTTTTTAACGACGTCCCACTGCTGGGCACGAGCTTCCCTTCAGTACGAGGGCGATCAGGCCATAGTCCACCACGCTGGCCAAGTGCGGATTGGCGGACCTCACATGTATTTTGAAAACTTGCTAGGTTTCCTCACGATGTTTTCCTTCACAAAGAAATCTTTCCTTAAGACAAGTGGCAACCTTGTTGGAAATGATTCGCACATGAAAATATCAGAGGTGCGAGACCCGGGATTTGAACCAGCTTCACTCGGTTTCCCAAGCGAGCGCATTACCACTGGGCTACCACTGCCTAAGGTTGCTATTAGCAATATTTAATCAAATCACCTTAGAGGTTGAGTCATGAGCGCGGTTTACACTTAAGATTTCACACTACTATAAAGACGTAAACAATAATAAATCAAATGGTTCAACTTCCCGGTTTTCGATTACTTAACATCGGCCTTCATCCTAGATCTTAAGGCAGATCTAGGATATAAAACTTTAAAACGACTACGACTGTTAAATCAATAATTAAAACTACAACAGTTTACTGAAAGAAATAAAATATTCTGAAACTTTCAATAGCTTAAGTTTAGGTCATATAAATATGTACTTTCTATGTAATGTTCTCAGTTCCACTGATCAACTATCATAATTTCTTATATCTATTATATATTACATACTAGCGTTTTCCTGCTCGCATATATCATATACTAAAACCTCCGAAACACGCTGCATCTTATGGTATGAGTATTATTCCGATCGGTTCAGTAGTTATCGCAGTATAACCGAACAAAGAAATAGGCTCTCCATTTATTAGTATAGATATATGTTTCTCATGTAAAAGACTTGTTCGTAATGAGAAATAAAGGTCTTTAAACCGAATAGTTTCGTACGTTCAAAGGCGAAAATTACTAAGTGATATACTTTAATTCAAACTTATTGTAGACGTATTTCAGTTTTCCTTTGTTAAAGGAACGAAAACACGGAAATGAATCAGCCGTATCATTGGTATGATATGAAGTATTTCTGTACTCATGTTGTAAAAATAAATTATAACGACACTAATATTATCAGTGCTAAAGTTTGTGGACTGTAACTTTAATTAATATTATTTTGACTATATACCACGCGAGCGTAGTTGAGGCAAAAAACTAGCAATGAATAATTAATTTATTTAGTACGTAAAACACTACGAACATTGTCCAATGTCTGTCTTAAGAGTAAGCTCGTAACTTCCTAAAAGCTACTAGCGACTCACCCTCGCTTCGCTCGGGTTCGTCCCTAGGTTGATTCCCCATACAAACTTTCAACCCCATTTTCATCCCATTAAGCGATGATTTCTGAGATAAAAAAGTATCCTATGTCCTTCCCGTGGTCTCAAACTATCTTCCCACCAAATTTCATCTAAATCGGTTCAGTAGGTCCAGAGATACAACGTCACAAGCTCACAAGCTTTACCTCTTTATAATATTAGTATAGATTATGTCTAAAACTATTCAATAAATAAAAAAAGTGGTAAATTTTGTGTATTCCTAAGAATCATAAAAACTAATAATTAAACGGGACTATCATGTACGGGAATATCAAAAGTGACTTTTTCGTCCACTTATCTTTGAGAATAGAGGAATAAGCAAGACATTGAAATTTTGTATAACCAATCCCAAACAACCCGCGAGCCAACAAACAATCAACAATAATTAATAAGGTCCTTAGCTGACTACCATCATTATCCTGCGGGACCCACTTAATGTACCGGAATTAAATGTATTCTCCGACCCATGAAGTATCTAAGTATACACAAATATCACAACGATCCGTTGCAGAGTAAAACAAGTATATACAAACAAATACGCACTATATGTCGCATTTATAAAATGGCTAAATATGGCAACTCACGTCAATACGGACTTGATAAATAAAACTGATAAAAAGAGTCACTAAATAAATATTTACTTTAAAAATAGCTTATCTGTTGCAAAATTGATAATGAAATATGGAATTTATCAATAAGAAGACACACAATAAATGATGTCAGACTACAAGTATGCCTTTCTTAGGCGTCACTTGAGTTAACATCGGGGTTGTGTCAAACACCGTCACGGCTTTTAGCAACACCTCAAATAATAACATTCTCACCATCAGATATGTCACACATTAAACATCTAATAGTGCTTAGCAGATGTACCAATTTATAAAAAATGTACTATATATTAAAAATATATATTATTATTATTTTCAAAAATAAAATGTGTAACAAATTAGAAAATTAAGATAAATGGAGTTAAAAATCAAATGTTCTCCTAGCCGATTCCGGCTACGGCGGCCAATCTCATTGAGATTAGCCAACTGCGCAGGAGATATTATAGTGCTCAAGTGTACGCGCAGACACGAATGCACTCTCTATTCCTATCACTCTCATACTCCGGTGTATATATTTTCTACCCTGTAAAGTATATAATTATTTCACACAATCTTTACAACTTTAGAAGCACATAAACTATCATATTTTAAGAACTATCTTCAACTACATGTTTGTAGTCATAGTAATTTATATGAAAATAATAAGATATTAACTAGAGTACATACACATTTTATATCAATATCTTTTACAAATATGGTCTGGAAAATTTGTCCAGGACACAATGTCAGATTATGCATAATTCAAGGTGGTTAAACAAATTGTAATGCTATTTATGTGCCTATTATATGATGTGGCTGAAGGTCATTGACAAAGTCAGGAAAACCGTGAGTGTGACCTTTAAAAATCGTACTGTTATCAATCATTCAATATTAATTACTTTTGCTGTTTAGAATGTTATAATAAGAATGGGATGTTCATTAAACTAAAATATAACAAAGTTATTTTTTAAAAGAGACTCACCCTCGCATACCTGGGCGATTCTTTAAATTGATATAACTTTTTTATTTATGAACCGATTGAAATAAAACAAATATATGATATGTATATAAAATATGTACTAAATGGTAAGTTAAGCTTACCATAGCGAAAACCGCACGCAAATCCGTCAAGCCGTTACTGAGATCAGCACAAACGCACAGACAAATGGCCATAAATTCTAAAAATCATTATTTAGTGTTATTCTATTGTGTTAATAATTACGCACATGAAAAATATTTTCCTTCATTAATAGCTAAAATAACATTGAATAAATGGAGGTTATTAGAATATAATAAATATATAATACATTTAATAATCAATAATATCAAACAATAGAAAATCAAAGTAAGTTTGCACAAATGTTAACATTTCTTTATAACATTAAAACGAGTAGTTCATTTTAATTAACTATTGTTTGTTCTGTAATTATTTTTATTTATTGATTATTATTATGGATTTCTCAATGCCGTTGTCATATTCATTGATTTTTATATTTTACAGTAGCAAATTGTGATGCAAATTCATCTTTAATTAGAAAATATATTATAATGTCAAACAGAAACCTTGCTATCTATTATGGGCTAATGAATTTATAAAATCCATACTTAATATTATAAATGTGAAAGTTAGTGAGGATGGGTGGATGGATGTTTGTTACTCTTTCACGCCAGAATGGCTGAATGAATCTGGACGAAATTTAACACAAAGATAGATCGTAGTCTGGAATAGCACATAGGTTACTTTTTATCCCAATTCCCATAGGATAGATTTATTTTTGTAGGAATGACGCCAAAGTATTTTCTAAAATTCTTTAAAAAAAAAAATGAATCAATGATATTATAAATTTATAAAAAAACAAAAAATATGCTCTTAAGTAAATAATATTTTTCAACTCAGCTAAAATAAATCTAATTAGCCCTAACTCTTTAACTAATATCAAATCAATTTCATCACTAAGTTACCAAATGTCATATTTTCTTAAAACGAATACAAATTTACATTTTATATGAAGTAATAAATTCTCAATTTTGGACAGTTATATTTACGTGAAATGTTTATTATGTAACAAAATTGTTTTTATTGCTTTATATTAAAATCAGAAGCATCTTAGTGTAGATTCTAGAGCATAAGGCAAAATGCCAATGGTAGTTTCTAAGAATGTTACTTACCAATATGTGTTACGTATGTGATAAATATTATCTGTTTATCAACAAAATAAAGAGGCCAACATTTTATCATAGTATACAATATGATTAAATAAAACAGATTTAATTCACTGATATCAGACAAAATATATTTGCTATAGTTTTTTTAAATAGAATATAGCAAGATCAATACTTTAAATAAAACTATGTTAACTATCTCGTGACCATGATTACTGTAACGCATTTGAAATGTTGGGAACCAAAAATCTAAATAAATCCGAAAAGATAGTTTCATTTAAAACATCAAATATTAAAATTTAAATTAACCTTTTTGTGTTAAAAGTTTGATTTCATTGAATCCTATTGGATTGAAAGATTTCTTCAAAAGTAATTCTAATTTAAATGCTGTTCTTCATCACTGTTTATAATCTCACATTCTATTTGTAATTTTTTTTTTGGATTCAATTCTTTGAATAAATTTATAAAATATAAATACTGCTTAGCAGAATACCATTGCCTCGGATAACAGTATTATAAAAAAAAATGTTATAGAGAAGACAACTTCTTAAACTAACTTAGAAAAAGAATTGCACACATAAGGCTAATGTAAACAAAACAAATGAAATAACTTACTTTAAAGACTTCAGAGAAGAAGCCTGTCCCAATCTTCTCCAAAGTAAAGTCATCAAAAGGGTAAAGCGCCGCGACTGCTGTTCGGAGAGCTGTGCATGAAGACCCCGTAACCTTACGATCACCAAGTTTTTCACCATCACTCACACTCGACTCCGCACAATCATCATCACAACACGCGCGTCTACTTCGTCCACCATTTTCAACGAACCTCTTCCCAACCTTTGAGTTAGGACCCCGTACGAACCTGCCAGATTTAGCTATCTCATCCAAGTTCGTAAAGCTTTCAGCTATTTTCAGCACCTTCGTAGGCCTCCGCTGCTCAAAGTTCCTCTTCGAAATCGTACACTCGTCTTGCATTCTAACTGGTGATCACGAACTCCTGCAGTTTATCATCCCGCTTCGAACATAGTTCTTCCGATTCGCACAAGTGTACGCAGTTCCCCTTATAATATTATGTGGCGGTACTTGAAACTATGTGAAACAACATTGTAATTCTTACAAAAAAGAATTCGATTTTATGCGACTGTCACTTTCACATATCTCTGAAGCATTCCAGTTAAATCAGGCTTCACGGTTCGATTTTAATTAAAATCTTTCACTCAAGTTTATTTAACTTGTTTATATTATGCTATGTGATTTGTATTGTTATAACCGAACAGTCCATTGACTGACGACGCGCGTACGAGTAAAGCAACGAAAGCAGAAAGTAAGCAGTTAAGCATTGCCACTTACAAACTACACATGACATTAAATTTTTATTGACTGACAACACTGCACAGTTGTTGATAGGTTGGCAGTCCTGTAATGTACTTGGCGTTCAGAAATATATTTTTAACTGATCGTAAATTGTTGTTATATTTCGTTTTTTTTTAATGTTATTTATGTCAATAAAATATTAGTTTATATTTTAAGCATTTTTTTATTGCTTTTTCTTCCAAATATTTTATCAATGTTTATTGCGGCGAACAGTGTAATGGCAGTGAGCAGATTCTTTACCGGCCGGAATTAATTCTGACCGTTGATGTTTTTTTTATGCTGTAAATAATGTATAATTATAATAAAATTCTGAGTCGAATCTGTACATATCTTATTGAAATAGTTATTATCATCGATACAGAGGCCGAAACTATAATTTTAGAAGTTTTGTCTGCCTGTCTGTGACTGCATCACGAGAAAACCAGTGGACAGATTTTGATGAAATTTTGTATGTTGATAGCTGATTATTAGAAGCTGATTGATAGAAGATTTCTTGTAAGGAGGGCGCCACACGTATTGCCTTTTTACATTCAGTCTGAGGTTAAGCAATTTATTATGATATCTCTTGTATATCTGGTTTTTTAATACTATTGTGTTCGCATCTTACCTATGCAATACCTGAAAGTAAAACCAGCTGAAGGAAGAATTGAAAAGGAGAGGTGCATCTTGCGATGGTCCTGACTCCTGACTGACTGATGGATCAACGCACAGCCTAAACCGCTAGACGTAGAAACGTGATGTAGGTTATTCGATGAGAAAGGATTTTTTCCAAATTCATCCCCTAAGTGGGTAAAATAGGGGATTAAAGATTGTATGAAACTCTGCAATTCTTAATGTAAAATACACGAAAAGTGGTGTTTAGCTGTAAGATAAAAAATAAGAAATATATTTACTACATTTTTTGAAGTTCATCCCTTAAAGGGGATAGTAAAGTTTATATGGGCAGAAGAAAAATTATTAGAATTACTTGAAACTTGGTCTTCAATACAATTAATGCTCTTCAATACAATTAAATAAATACGTGTTATAGCATTTTTCGAAGTTCAATCCCATATGGGAGTAAAATGGAGGATGAAAGTTTGTATGAAACTCTGTAATTAATATGTAAAAAGTACAAACACTAAAAAAAAAATCACCTGTAGACCATTTAAGTGTTTTAAAATCACTTTCTTTAAAATGATGTCCACATAGTCTTAAATATAATGATTGTGATTTCGTCAATTTTGGTCGTCTTATTGCTTTAGCCCGCAATTTCTTTAATTTTTGTCTTTTGGGAACAAATAATATCCATTTCCTTTGCATTCTAGCACTGCACAATTTGTCATTTTAATTAAATTTTAAATAAAATGAAAAAAAAAATCATCCACGCTATAGAGCTTTACAATATACTGAGAGCTATCACTAGCGAAATCTGGTGGTAGAAAAAGGCAAAATTCTTGCCCAATTACCACTAAATTGCCTCGATAGTCTAGTGGCTAGCATGTAAGGATGCAGAACCTAAGATCCTGGGTCCAAGTCCCGGGTGGGCCAAGTTTAACTATTTAGCCTTTCTGTTAAGAAAGCCTTGGTAACAGCTCCGAGTTGAGTAGGTGGCATGACTTGGCGTTGAATACGTAATGCCGTCTGTCTTCTCCTGCTCTCTCACCAGTCACCGGTCGTGTCGAATTGTCATCTCACCGGAATGTTAGAGTAATATAAATAGAGTACACTTGTGTCTACGCGTAAACTTGTGCTCAAAAATATCGCTCCTGCGCAGTTGACCAATAAGATAGATTGGCAGCCGTGGCCGGAATCGGTCAGGAGGACAACATGGAGTATTACCAAAAATATTCGTTTGTAATGCAATTTTGTAAACATTAGCCCAGTCATAGCAGTCATAAAAAGGGCCTTTCGCTAGAAAAGGTTAAAAGAGAGTGCTAGGTCGCAAATTCGGAATATTAATTAAGACACCAAACTGTAACACTGCCAAATTAAAACTCTCCTAGACCTTTAGACCGCAAATCAGAACCTACCCAGTGACTGAACTATTTTCTTCATATTCAAATAAAAAATAAATAATATGGAAATCATAAACAAAAATTCAAACCAATGAATTCGAGCGTGGCCTTGATGTCGCGCATAGCATTCTCATTAACTCTATTTTTATTTTGAGCCCAGAACCACTATATTTATGGGTGATTTTGATTAATATTTAATAAGGGTTTAGATCCTATTTGGAGGTTATAGAATGGAATCGAAATAATCAAACAAGTGTTAAAAATACAGACAATTTACATTATATGTAAATCATGGGAATATTATTTTAAGTCGCCATCCCTGCCTCCTTCATATCCCTAAAATATTTTTTACTACCCACTCTTTCTGGGGCCGCGTCCGAAATATTAAACTTATGCTCGACTTAGACAACACGTTTGGCTCAGTTTGTAGTAACCCTGCTTGCTGTGCCAGTGGTCGCGGCTTCGAATCCCGTTGGGAGCATCCATAACATCAATACCACAATATACTATAACATCCTTAACACAAGCTTCGTAGCTTACCATGGAACTAGATGGTAGTGTGTATTAATGTCCCAACATGTTTATCTATTTTATTTATGCTCGGGGCAGTTAATAAAAGTCGACATTATTTTGCAGTTTATTATAATCCATGCTGACGACTATATACTTAATTAAATGTATCTATATCACACGATGTAAACCACGATGACAGTGTGTCCTCAGAAAGCAATCCTTAAAACACATCCGTATTTTAAAGATCGCTCCCATCCATCTTACTTCCTTATTTAGGAAATATTCTCTCTGTCACAATAAAAATAACAACACTAGCTCAATTATTCACAACTGTCTACCTACTAACTATTAAAAATTTAACGCTCAATAGCTATAAATACAAATATATTATTGCTGTCGCGATTTTATATCTAATTTACCTTAACTATCTAGTTAACTATACATTGATCTCAAAATGAGTATTCGTTTTTCACTTACCTAAATGTATATTCTAAAAACTAATTTATCTTAGTATTGCTTGATGAAGGAAAACATTGCTTTCCTTAGAAAAATTGTAACAAATACATATTATAATTAACTATAAGGCTGGGAACAGACATCCTATCTCTTTTACATTTTTCCATGAAATTATTGATTTAGATAAAAAAAATATTTGAAATTAAATAATATATTCTGAGTATTTAAAAAATAAAAGATAATGTAGGTTTTGATCGCAACAAATTAAAGCAAGTGTTTATAAAAAATATACATATAAAAATAGGATGTATGTCCCAGTTAGCAACCATCAGATGGCGCAATGTAACAAACATGTGTATATTTTATAAAAGTCGGCGCCGTATTGCAGCTAAGGTACCATTTTCTAATGTAAAAAAACCGACAAACATTACTTAAATGAGTAAAATATCTTTAAGCTCGATGTGTCAAATCAGTTAGATAATGCCTTATTATATGCTACTTGCCACGAATGTTTATCGGTTTTATTTTTTTGCATAAATTAATAGCGCTTGTTGCCATGTACATTGCATTTTACAATGAAAAAGTTAATTATTAGTTTATCTTTATTGTTATTAAAATCATATATTTATAATTGATAAAAATATACAATATTTTAATTATAAAAATTACTTTCCCTTAACTGTAATACGGCCGTTACTGTGCAATAATCACAATTTTCTAAAAAGGGTTCGTAAGCTGATTGATTTAATCTAAATAAACTATTGACTTAAAGTAATTTAATGAACAATAAACATGATGAAATGTAGGAAAGTTGGTGATATTTCTGTACAGAGTAGCACAGGGATAATAAAGTCTTTACAAGACTCAGACCAATAATTTTATTAGTCTGAGTTACAAGATAAGCATATTAATGCTATTAGTTTTTTTAGTAGGTAATTTTAATTTTACACCAGAAAGTGCTCTTTGTGTCAATACAAATCAGAACTTATAAATTGTTGATTTATTTAGTAATCACTATAATATTTTTGTACTCATTATGTGTCGAAAAGAATATATTGTAATTATAATAGTAAACGATAAAGTAATAATAGATTTTTTTTCGTAAGAGCTTGGAATTGTGTTAACAGGCAATACATTTTGCAATAGAATGTAGATTCATTATTATATGACATTGTTTTTTTTAATAAACAATTAGTATGTAAAGAAATATTTATTGAAACATAAACATAAATATTCTATTAATAAATTCAGTTCTAGAATGACACAGAGTAATGAAATCATTTAATTAAAATATATATTTTTCTAAGTATGTTTCGCTTTCTGGTGCATAGTATATAAAATAATAATAACTATAACTAACAATTAATTAATTGACAAATAATTTTTAAAAATAACCTACTAATAAAACAGGATTTATTTTTGCTCGGGAAAAATAATGCTAAATTATTCTAGCTACGTAAAACGCTATAATAACTTTGTACATATTATCTAAGCTTCGTGTTAATTTGTTTGATAAATGTTGTATGTAACCATGAAAACTTTTGTATTTAAACCACAGTATATGATAATATCATATTTTAAGCAAAAACATTGTAAATGGTATATTTTGAAAGATATACAGTCTTCGATGCTGTTTATTTAAAGCTAAAACATTTTTTAAATTCTAATACATATTTAAAGGTTATATTATTCATGGATTTAGAGGTTTTTTAGAAGTGTGCACGGATATTTTAATTTATTATATGATTAAACTATGCAATAAAACGCACTGAAATAATCTTAAATTATTATTATGGTATATTTTAGAAAATGTAAGTAACGAAAACGTTCATTTTTCATATTATAGTAGTTAGTTGACTGAATAATTTTGTTGTTTAAACATAATATGACTCAATTAACTTTAATTCAATATATCATAAGTGCTTTATAAATTATTAATTTATTCTAATAGACAATATTTGCCTAATTATAAATACATATAGATAAAAAAGATAATCTTTTCCTTATGTTAAGTTTTGTAGAATTATACATGATAAATGGTTATGGATTTATAACGAGCCTAATAAAATGTAGTTATTAAGCGTTATTTCATATTATAAGCTTATGAAGTAATTAACGTGCTAGTAAATGTTGAAAACTAAATGGTAGACTGTTAAATATAGGTGAGCTAAATAAAACTTCTCATAACATAAATTATGATGATAATGATTAATTTTAATTTAAAAATTAAAAAAAAAATATTTGATATTTTGAATGATGAATAAAGTAGTTATTTTTATGAAAATAAAAATCACAGACTATAATAATCGACTAACGAAATCATTGAAGTCTGTATTAAAGTCAAATTAATTTTAAAATTTTTATTTCAATTTTTTATAGCAATTCTTTATCAAATTAATATTTTAGTTAAATTATTTACTGAACTTATTTGTTACACATAGGTTTGTACGTAAAGTTTTTATGAACTCAAGATCCTCTCTTCGTCGGTAGTTTAAATATTTAATTCACAACCTTTTGCACCATTTCTATCTTTAGAAATAATGTGACAAATATCTGAAATAGCTTCAACAATTACTTAATACAATGTAAGTAAGAAAAAAGAACAGTTTTTATTAGGCTAGATATTAATTTTGTATTAAAATTGCAGGAATATTTAATAAAAATTAAAAAAAATAAATAATTGTTTTAAGACTACATGTACAGGATGGGAATAAATAGTACCTATTCATGATACTAGAAAATGCAAATAATTAATAAATTTATATGCAAAAATAAATTATAATTTTTTAAGAAATTTTTAAATTCGTTTAGCGATTTTAAAAATTTTCCAATATTAGGTCAAACTTTACCTTATTAGTTAATTTTGTAGTATGGTTGTTAGTTTTTGACCTAATAAGCGGTAGAATCGTGTTGATGAAACGATGAACATTTATTAAATAACAAGAAAAATATAGGGATACAGTAATATGAAAATAAAATATAAGATGAATCCCACAAGTGTAAAACTTTAGTTCCCTAGCACCGTCATTCCTATCCTGTACCAGGATTTGTATATTAGAAACGTATACACTATACTTGAAAGTTTTATATGAGGTTAGCTCAAAAGGGTTAATATTAAAATATTTCGAAATCGTTAGTATAATAAGTATGTATAGAAAGATTTAAAAAATTCGGATGAACATTTCGGAAATCGCCCAACACTCATTTGCCGATATCAACATCAGTCAGTAGTAACTGACAAATCAATACATATAATAAAATTGTTACTAAGCCGAATCTGTACATTAAATATTTTTTGAATACCTTTTTCAAATAAACATTATTATTGATACAGAGGCCGAATGTATAGTTTTCAGAGTTTTTGTCTGTGTATCTATCTGTCCGTCTGTCTGTCTGTTTGTCTGTTACCGCATCACAGAAAAACCACTGGAGGGATTTTGATGAAATTTGGTATGGTGATAGCTGATTATCCGGGTCAACATAAGGATACTTTTTACCGAGGGAAAATGTCTCATTTCTAAGAAAAAATACAATAACTGTAATGTAAGGGTATACTAATATGTAAAACCTAAGAATTTGGTTTTAGGTCATCTGAACGCGAGCGGAGCCGCGGGCAATGCTAGTTAAAAATAATAAGTCCTTCAATCTAAAAACAGTTGCAATTACAATATACCATTCATTTTAAATTCTATGTCTTTTCACTTGTTTTATAAATAACAATGCGATTAAAACTAAAATTAAATATAAAATAAAACTAACTTACATTGTAAATGTGATGAGCAAGTTCGTTTAATAAATAATATAACAATATACGTGTGAAATGAACATTTTTTATCTAAGCATTTAATTACAACGGTTTAAGATAGGTTCCTATGTCGTGAATCACCTCGGTATAATGTAGTGCAGAATGAGAGGCGCCAAGCAGATCGTGTATGGAGAGGGCATTCTTTGTGGATGGCTGTTGGGTTCGTCTTGACATTTGCCTGGTACAAATAATAATTCTTATTAGAAGTGTTATTTTTTTTTAAATTAAAACTATCTCTTAGTATTTATATACATTTTTTTAAATAACAATTCAATCAATACTTTTATTCTAGTAATTTATTAACTTAGCTAACTGTAAATATAATCAGTCTGTCTCGAGACTCAAACCCGGGAACTTATAATATCAGAGCCCTGTATGGTAACTATTAGTGATTAGACCAACAAGTTGACAAACAATGCCAAAGTTGTAATTGAATGAGTAAGAGTAAGTGCGTCAGTCTTACTTCTTTAAGATATAAAGGCCTATACACACGACGACTTTTAAACGCGCTGTCGCTCAACATGCAGTCGACGCACAGTGAATACGAGCGCAAGTACATTTTTTAAGACCATTAGTATCATATGCACATATGACGTACTTTTCTGATACGCGTATCGTCGGCGCTTATAAAACGTGGTATGTCCTAATGACTTAGTGAATTTGAGTGTTTAGAATAGATTATTGAGATATCGTCTATATAATAAATATTCTAGTATTAAACTGGCGATATGTCACCCCCGTGCCTCGGAGAGCACGTAAAGCTGTCGGTCTTGCGCCTCGCCTCTCTTAACTTTGAGAGTGACAGGAATAAAGAGTGCACTTGTCTCCGTGCGTATACTTGTGCACTATAATATCTCCTGCAGTTGGCTAGTCTCGGTGAGATTGGCCGCCGTGGCCGAAATCGGTCAGAATATTATTATTAAACTGGACATAAATAAGAAATAAGAAAGCTCACCAGTAAACCCAGCATCGAATAACAACGCGTCGTCTTCACTGACCACCCGCTCGCAGTTGGCAGCAGATCGCGCGACGGTCAGCGCGCCGTCCCTTGCGTCGCGCGACACGAAGCAGTACCGTCTGGCCGCCGTACTGTCGCGGGTCACTGGCGTCGTCACTACGAAGGACGCGCCTCCTTCGTACCAACCTCCATGGCATGTGTAGGCTAGGGATGGATATTATATATATATATATGTGTGTGTGTATTCAGCCCTTTTTAACGTCCCACTGCTGGGCACGGGCCTCTCTTCAATACGAGGGGGATCAGGCCATAGTCCACCACGCTGGCCAAGTGCGGGTTGGCGGGCTTCACATGTTTTTCGATAACTTGTTAGGTTATCTCAAACATGCAGGTTTCCTCACGATGTTTTCCTTCACCGTAAGACAAGTGGTAATCATGTTGAAAATGATTCGCACATGAAAATATCAGAATTGCGAGACCCGGGATTTGAACCCGCTTCACTCGGTTACCCAATCGAGCGCGTCACCACTGGGCTACCACTGCTTCATTATATTTAAGGATAGAATAAATGTTTAGTTGGACGTTTACTGTTAGCGAATGTAAATAGTAATAAATAAATAAGATGCGTAACGTATACTGGTGAAAATAAATGCCTACACAGCCGTTAGCAGGGGGCTGTTTCAAATATAAGGGTTTTCAGCATTAGAATAATGTTACAAACTAAATACAATAATTTAGTTTGTGTGAGTGAGGGTTAAGAGTATATATCATAAAAATAGATAAAACAAGCTTCGTTAGTAATATTTGTTGTAATATAAACAAATATGTACCTACAATATAAAATCAATATGTACGTAGGCTTAGGTAATATTGCTTTGTTCGGAACTTTTAATACGATAGGAGAATATAACATGTCGGTACTATATTTTGAATTGTAATTAACATGACAAGAAACGTGTTAAAGTTCGTTGATCTGAATCACTATAAAAGCCTAAAAAATGAATCATCTTAATAGCTAAAATAATCATTGCTTTTTCATTTAATTTGACATTAACCCAAATAAAAACACTGAGTGACCTTCAATAAGTGAGGCAGACGTCGTTATAGATTGTAAAAACCAGGTAAGTTTGTCACAAACGACTAAAATTAAATTTATTTACCACAAATTAACATTTTATTTAAGTCATAGTTATAAAACAATCGGATGTCAGAAAATATATGATAAATTCATTACGAAGAGTTAAACTTAAAAGATTTACTAGAAGCCACTTAGGAGTTCCAAAACCCATCTCCTGGCTATCATCAGCTGAATGGTATTAATCGTGTTGTCATCAGTTACATATTTAAAAAGTTTCAACTCGATTTGATCGAGTCGAAAATTGACATTGCGGAATTCATTAGGTACTTAAATGTTATACAAACAAATAAAATTGAAGTGTCTGTAATGTCAAAATAGCAGTTTTTTACTATATGTATATGAAAGAATTTACGATACTTATAAGAAAAAAACTATTTTAATTTTTTTGTCTGTGTCTATTTGTTCCGGCTAATCTCCGAAAGGGTTGAACCGACTTTGACAGGACAGAATAACTTAAACCATGTGAAGCAAGGATAAGTCGCCAGTTACATATAAAGCTAAAAAACGTGTTCTTGGCATAAGTACCTGTAATGGCTTCCTTACTATCACACAAAGAATAGAACTCCATATTCTTAGCAGAATTGCACCCCACTTCAAGTTTGCTGTACACCGCGCACACCTCCGAGTGTCGCCTGCTCCTCAATATCGGAGTCTCCGACATATTCCTTATACTAAAATTGAACAGTCTCGTGTAATTTACTCTACGATTATGTTGAAACATTGCTTTGTCACGTTTAGTCCTATTTTTCTCTTTTAGATAACTTCGCTTGTGTCGATGGTTCGAAATCACGTATTTGCCAGCGTAAGGGCATTCTTTTGATTCTGGATTGCTAGCTGCAATGGAATAAAATAATAAATGAGTGTTTTATATATTATTTTTTTTGCATATGATAACAAATATATATTATAATTATAATATTAAGTTTTTCGCTCAAGAATGGTCGGGCAGATAGCCCTTCTTAAAGTCCCACTGCAGGAAACGGGCCTTTTTTCAGTGTAAAGGGGATCAGGACATAGACAATAACATCAGGCAGATTTCACATATCTTTTGAAAACTAGTTAGGTTCCCTCGGGCATGCAAGTTTCTAAACGATATTTACCTTCACGGTTAAGGTAAATAACGTAAGCAAAAATGATGAAGGCCGCCACTAATTTTATATCAATTGGCAGTGTAAATTCAGAAATATAATTTAATCTTCTCGTTTTACCCTATTCCACTGAAACTCACTTCACCCAGTGGAAATAACATAAACATTAATTAATTATATATAACACATGTGGTCGGACTTTCCTTGTAAGATGTTGACGGTGGGTTCGATTTAAGAATTTGTCAACAAGTATTAGTTAAGTTGTAAATTTTATATTTCTCAGCTATATATATCCTTTGCAAATAAAAATTCTATTTTAATTCCTGTATGTAATTTAAGTGTAATAAATAAAAGTATATACATTTTAATTATTCGGCTATTCAAATAACAGGAATCAGTTCTGTTACTTTTGTTCGTACTTACCAACCAAAGTAACGTAAGACGCAGTCATAGCGTTAAAGTGTGTTGTGGAGCACGCCTCGTCGGGGCGGCTGGTGGGCGACCCGCGCTGCAGCTCCGCGATGAACGTGTCCCGCCGGTACAGGACCACACACACGTAGCGAGATGCACTGGAAGTATAACAAATGAAGTGTAAAAAATATGTATAGATATTGTTAAATTGATTTAAAATAATATTAACTGAACTAGTGACTTTTGAAATTTTGATAGTGTAAAATATTGTTAAAATATGTGAAACATTTGAGTGTTACCAGTCTTTGACTGAAAATGAAACTATAGAAGAATGAAAGTGTTTGTAAAATTATGATAAATATTTATAGTAATAACTAGTGGAATAAGACGTATTTTTAGCGTAATATATTGAGTCGCTTTTAAAATTTGGATAATTATTCTTCTAACTAGCCATATTGCCTTCTTATAATTCAGGCGTCGCGTCGTATGGGTTATAATTTTATACTAACCTAGATCTAATATCTTATAACTGACAACACTTCGTGTTTTAGCAAAGTGTTATTTACGACGTTTTCCTTCACTGTTAAGACAAGTGGTAATCATTTTGGAAATGGTTCGCACATTAGAGTATCAGAGGCGCGAGATCTGGGATTTGAACCCGCTTCATCCGATGTTCCAAGCAAGCACGATACCACTGGCCTCCCACTGCCTTATTCTTAAACTTATCTACATAATAGTAAATACGTACCAATGATGTTGCCAGTGCGCGACCAACGCGACCGAATTTCCACTCGGTGAAGTCGCCTTAACATTCACACAGTAAACTTTTATTTCTGCACCAGTTTGGTTCGTTATTCGAAGAGTGGCATTACGTTGATAGAAAGTATAGTTGCTGCTAAAGTCCAGAGTATGCCACGTGTGGGAGAACGTCATCCAGCTCGGAAATTGACAGTTGAAGCGGACTGACACTGTAACGGAATGATTTGATTTGAATGAATTAATTAATCGAGTTTTGTTGTTGGCGTTCAAGTTTCTTTGCTCTTTGGACGGAAGAGTGGAGGGAATTTTGCAAATACATTCATTTGTTTAATTTATAGTCACATTTTGTTAAAATTCAAATGGCACTAGTCTATTGAAGTATTTTTAGTTAATCAGGTACTTGAATTCAAAATTACTCTTAACCTTAACAATGAAATTTTTCCTTGAAAAGTGATGGTAATACTTATTAAAATCGAAAATGAATTTTTGGATGTTCATATTATTTTAAATCACTTATGAATATAATCGTACCTCTCTTCAATGCCATAGTCCTCGAGCCTTCAGTGGCGCTGAACAAGCCGTTGCACGTGGCGTCGCCGGACTGTGCCACGCGGTACTCCACCTCACCCGGCGGGGCCGGCCCTTCCTTCATACTGCTGCTTGATGCTGAAAATATTAAAACAAAATTAAAAAAATATATTCACATATATAAAATTATATAATTCTAACATAAAGCTTAATTTTAGTTTACTATAACAATTATTCATATATAAAGAAGAAGAATCGAGAAGCCGAAATGGCTTATGTTAAGAATATTCAAAATTCAATTAAAACAAAACACTATCAGAACAATAAGCGTAATATACTGAACGGAGATTGTTAATTATTACGTTAAAACAATTAAAATATTAACTAATAATCTATACCTTCATATAATAACTGAGTTAAATTTGTACATTAAATATTTTTTGGAAAATCTTATTGAAATAGTCATTAATATCGATACAGAGGCCGAATCTATAGTTTTTAGAATTTTGGTCTGTCTGGGAACGCATCAAGAGAAAACCACTGGATAGATTTTGATAAAATTTGGTATAACGATAGCTGGTTATCCGGGTGGACATATAGAATACTTTTTACTACGGGAAAATATCTCATCTCTGAGAAATCTATACTAAACGTTAAAACGTAACTAGGGACGAACTCGACCGGAGCGAGGGTGAGTCGCTAGTCTTAAATATAATAATAATCGCAACATAAAACATCAGTACGACTGTACTTGTATAATAACAATCGTACATAAGTATTTATCTAGAAATGTAAAACAATTTATCTAACAGAAATCTATCTTTAAAAACAAATAAATATATTTTATAGAAAACAAAATACAAACCAAAACGCAACTAAATCTTACCAATACCATTTGTCTTCTCGTAGACAAAGCATCTATATCGGTCCTCGTTGCTGGTCGCGTGATTGTGGTGCAACTTGCCCACTAGAAATCTTAAACTACCTTCTTTCCACGTTGCAAGGCATTCCAGTTCCTCCACTGTAAGGTTGGGAAAAAAATATTATATTTATATATTATATATATTACTAGAAAAACAAAACCGAACCTATCTTACGGGAACCGTACATTTTTCCGGGATAAAAGTAGCCTATGTGTTATTCTAGACTATAATCTATCTTTGTGCCAAATTTCATCCAGATCCGTTCAGCCGTTCAGGCGTTTGTTTAGTTGTTTAGTACTTAGATAGGCTATGACATGGAATAACACAAGCGATTTTGCCACTCAGGAAACACTCGATTGAAGCGCGGGTAAGTTACCAGTACACTTTATGACCGAAAATAATGTCAAATTCAAATATTTAAAAATTAACATTTATTATGAGTTCGAACTTAACAGAAATAAGAGTAAAATGTGATTTTTTTAAATTTAAATATTAGCATGGCATGCATATAAAAATATTCTCGTGTAAGTTTATCTTTAGTAAATACAAAAAAAAAACATCCAGATTATTTTCTGCGATGACGCGTAGACCAAAAACGTACAATAACAAGTTAGCGAGCTATTTCCAGCCAGACATCAAACAATAGGCGACTGGAAGATTGCCCGCGCCATTGCGAGATTTAGCATCTCGTAAAATTATATCGAGGAGCTGTGAAACAATTCGTCTACTGCGGACTGGGAATACCAAAGTAATGAAATTAGATTTATTTATTTTTCTTCTTCTGGCATGATTTTAAAGGGATTTTATACTTATTTTTATTTTTATATATTTTCTCTGACAGATTAAAAAGAAATTGTATTTACATATATAGATTAGATTTATTTGTTGTACAACTTGATTGGCTCCTTATATACCTACTACTTGTAACTACATATTTAAAGCTGATTATACGGGTCAACATATAGGATACTTTTTACCGCGGGAAAATGTCTCATTTCTGAGAAAAAATATAAAAACTGCAATGTAAGAGTATACTAATATGTAAAACCTAAGAATTTGGTTTTTGGTCATCAGAACGCGGGTGGAGCCGCGGGAAATGTTAGTATTTAAATATATTATATGTATAAAATGCCATGCTTAATTTTAAATTAAATTTATACTGAAAATATATATACAATAAATATAATTAATAATCCTTTAAAAATAAATAAAATAAATAAATAAAACATTAAGAATAATTTTCTCTTTTATATATTCTTAGTATATGTAAACAAAATTAAAAATACGTGATGAATATTTCAATATACGAGTACCATTATAAAGTACGTTCTGTAATATCGGACTCGAAGGACCAATTATTATAGTTCGGTCTCTGGAGACAATTTGTTATTAGCATAAGTGTTTACCTGTGCTTTCTGAACCATAAACATCGGGGCAGGCTTGATAATTAAGCAGTAGTCGTGAATCTTCCGTACAACTTTCGATTGACGAAGCTGGAATTTTGCAATCACCGTGCCCCCTGAAAATAAAAATTGTGCATGAAAGTAAATATTGAATTATAAAAAAATGTATTTATTATAAAAATTCTTTGATTTTTTGAATTTTATATTTTTATAGAGTATGAAATTAATGGATACACTGTAGAAAATCTAAAGACTCATTTTTCTTTGTGCTTACTATAAGTATTGGCGACAGAAGACGGCTATTTATACCGAGTCTAAATAAGTATTCATTCCGGGCGGAAATCGAATTCGCTAACTTTGGAAAACTTCACATTTCCAGCCAAACAAATGCCCACTATGTAAGAAAAATATAATTTAGCATATTATTATTATTAATAATAATAATTCAGGCCTTTTAACGTCCCACAGGATTGAACCCAGGTTCAACCTTCCTCCAATGCTAAAACAGATTAACATAGTCCACCACATTAGTCAAATGCGGGTTCGACTAAAGATCCCAAGTAACCTTTTACAATGAACTAATTATCTTCGGGCACCTTTTGCCGTAACGTTCTAAGTTTTTATTCGTTCTCTGACCCCTAATTTGTATGCAAAAAATTTTTTTTTTCATTTATAATCTATACAAATATTACACATTTGTTTTTTAAGCTTAACTGCGGAATCGCATGATGTAGACGGGCATAGGCTATTTTTTGACTGTGAGAGGAGTCACGGGCATAAATATATATAAACACTTATGTACGAGCGTAAGAAGTTATACTACTTTGACGTAACGGAATAAAAATAGCTAAAGATTTGATCCCGTATGTCACAACAAGAAATGCAGATAACTTCATCATGTTGATTTTTGCCGGTCGATGTGCGCGCGCCTCGTAAAAAATTTAGTCTCATATTTTTTTTGCAAACGTACCAAAAAAGTAGGTATTACTTAAAAAAAATTAATGACAGAAATAACCTTTCTCCATCCGATATCATATCGTATGTTGTAAAGTAAAATAATATGAAAGACATGTGTTTCACAGTTGTAATTATTAGCATGCATCATGTGCTTGCGGTAATGACTTTTTAATTTGACCGACGTTAATCAACCGTGATCTCGCCGGGTAATAAATGAAATACTTATCACACTGCAGCACTCGATGTCAGCCTAATTATTAATTGCCTTGCCCATGCAATTTTTTTTAAACATCGGTTAACGAGATTCAATATTATAGGTTTTTATTAAACGTATAACTTATCGTTGGTACCAAAGTGTATACGATATTAAAAAAATAATAATATGGTAGTGCTAATCGTATAATATTAAATGAGCAATTATTCTATTTATGTATATAAAACTTCGTGTGTCTCGGAAACGGCTCTAACGATTTGGATCAAATTTTGTATATAGCTATGTCTGTTTTGGAAAAACGCAATTTTTATATCTTTTCCAAAAAACGTCGAGAGTTGCTCAGCTATCAGTTACTATATATATATATATATATATATGTATATATATGTGAATATATATATATATATATATATATATATATATATATATATATATATATATATATATATATATATATATATATATATATATATATATATATATATACACACATATATATAACTGACAGATTAGTGTTCTTTTGTATTTTTTTATAATTAATATTTTATTTTTTCGTAGTTTCGTTTTTAAATATTTTGTCAAAATATTGAAAACTATAATATTTGTTATTTACATATGATATTAAAAAATAAACATGTTAACTATATACAAGTTTGAGCAAAAAATATAAAGTAGGTACTCGTATTATTAAAGAACGCATGTAAAATTCAAGGAGTGGGCAGTACACTTTCTTATCACGTTCCAGCGAAGAGAGAAGCATCTACTCTTTTAGTCTTTAAATGACTGTTAATATTTTATTTATTTCGTTATAATATAGAAATAACTAGCGACTCACTCTCGTTTTGCTTCGGGTTGGTCCGTACACAAAAATAAATCTATCCTACAGGAACCTTACATTTTTCCGGGATGATATATAGCCTTCCTCAATAAACGGGCTATGTAATGCTAAAAGAATTTTTCAAATCGGATCAGTAGTTCCTGAGATTAGGGGAAACAAACAAAAAACAAAAAATCAAACAAATTATGTCTCTTTGTAATATTAGTATGATATATTAGTAATAAAACAGTATTTACTAAAGGTAAAGGAGTATTACTTTTTCTAGTAGTAATATGTAATGTGTTAAACTAGATATTACCTCCGGATCGCCTGCTTTTCATTTCTATTTATCTAGGCACTAAGCACACAATCTTGTACCCTACTTTACACTAGTATATCAGAGCGTAGAACGTTGTAATCAAGTTTCTTTTCCATATCTTTGTATTATTACGACCGATTAAAATATATTTTTTCTTATAAAAATATATTTAATCACATTAAAAAAGTAAATTTAAAAAGAAAACACAAACCCGAATGCCTAAAAAGTGATCTAAAAAGAACTGAAGTAGTTAGGGAAGAAATATATAATACTATATACATATAACACTTACAATGTCAAGATGAATGAAATAACGTACGAATCATTTAAATTTCACTTATTCACTAATTACGAGGGAACATAGGATTGGACATACATACATACAGGTCAAACACATAACTTTCCTTTCAACCTGTGGACTTCGCCGCAGTCGGGTAAAAAAGGTTCATTGAAGTTCTTCCAACTCTTTCCAAAGCTTGCGCGATTAAACTGACAGATTGCAATTCTAAAACATATTTGTAGTGAGCTTTTATAATATTCAATTAAGGGGTATTTTTGTCGTTATTTTTATGGTGTTACTTAATTGATGTTATTAGTCACACCTCAAGAGCCTCATGAAAATTTCAAGACAAAACTAAGAAATAATAATAATTTTCATGGAAAAAAAATCGTAGTGGTTAAGAGTTGGTGTGCTTTTTTAGTTAAAAATCAATTATATGCTGACATAAATATTTTCAATAAGGTACCATTTTCGCCTCTTTACAAATGGCAAATTATTATGTATAAAGTTATATACAATTCATGAATGTACATTTAACAAGTATTATTGTACTACAAGTTCCACTTTACTATAGAAATGCGAAGTTACAGTTGTCGAAGTAATATAATTAAGTTTCGTCTGTAGCCTGTTATGCTAAATAAATTAATAGAACGACTGCTACGTTGATGCATTCGATTCTGGCATTAAATTTTTATCATTATTCTTTGTCTACGAAAAATCTATTTGCAAGAAGATATTACGAGCTTTAAAATAACAATAAAACAAAATCGAGGACACTTGTACTTCAAATATTTTATGAATTTAAATTAAAGTATATTTAAAAATGAAACTCGGAAATTAATAAGATTTTTATTATTTCTTGATTGAACGCGAATTATGTGACTATAATTGTTCATTTAATAATTATTTATATTCGAGACTAAAGTAGTATATATTTAGAATTAAATTCTAATAATTAATTGATTTTGAAATAAATCGATTAATTATTAGAATTTTTAAATTAATTCTTCTAATTATCATTTAACATCAAAAAAAGTACGAGTTGTATCTTATTATTATTATTATTGTAAGCCAAAAAGTTTGTGAGGATGTATTACTAATGAAAGTTTTTTTATTACTCTTTCGCGCCAAAGATAAAGTATGGATTTTGATTAAACTTTACAGTAATATAGATTATACATCAGAGTAACATATCGGTTATAATTAATTCGATATATATCGATATAGTAGTACATAATTGAACTACGTGGGCGGCGATTGATTAATTAAGGCGTTAGTAATTTATGACTCAGCTTTCAAATAAGTTAATTTTTGAAGTTATACTTCTCTTGGCACGTTTGAAAAAAATTATGAGAGTTAATTTTTTACTACGCGCGCGCACACCGACAGCCAAAGAGCGATGCATTCCTTTTACAAACAGATAGTTGTGACATACGGGATGAAATCTTTAGCTATTTTTATTCTGTTACGCCAAAGAAGTATAACTTCTTACGTGCGTACATAAGTACAAACACAACACGTGTTTTTTTAATCTTTTATCAATATTTATTTGCAATAAGACAATAATGCACTATACTAACCTGTTGTAAGTGAAGGAGAAGGGTCCTTTTAGCGGGCAGTCTACTGGCTCCGCGTTTTCCCGGAACATAGAATACAGAAGGGCATCGCCAGTGATGAGGGAACACAAGTGGGGTAGAGCGTCTCGACGGTGACAGAATGCTGTAAGAAATATAATATGAAAATAACAAATTTCTTTATATTACAAGCATTTTTTTGTTATCGTATGATTTCTTTAATCCTTAATTATCTGCTTCTAAGGATTATACCGCGATGTTAGCTCGTTTATAGAATAAATAGCTGATTTTTTTTTCATTTAATTAGTAGTTCTAGAGAACAGAAAAATACATTTAACTCTATTATATATTAATTATTTTATGATTTATTAAATTTTGAATCTCCAACTTATCTACAGTATTTGCAATCGAATACGTAATTATTATAATAATATATTTATAATAATATATTTATAATAATATAATGTAAACCCCCGTTTAGTTATTTTTTACATTTTAGTGCCTGGAAGTCGGTTTTTTTAAATGTTTTTATTACTAATATTATAAATGTCACACTTATTGCTGAACAGATTTTGATGAAATTTGTCAAGGACTTGCATATCATAGGCCATATTTTATCTCGGCCCTGCTTACCAAGAGAGTGGAGTCGCATACAAAAATTAGTTAGATTTATAATTAAATAAACTCTTTAGAATGTAATCAAATAGGTACTAGTAGGTACTTACTTTCCTTGTACTGCAGAACGTTTATGTGTTTCTCATGCATCACGACACACCGGTAACACCCTTTTCTAAAATAGAAAAGAAAAATTACATTAATTTTGCTATAAAACTGCTTTAAACGGATAAAAGGACACCTGAGCTATCGTATTTTTTGATATTTTTTGTTTATTGAATCTTATTTTTTAAAAACTTTCTTTATAATAAGAGTGACAATAATTATAGTTTTCTAAATTTTAAACTCTTTTGAGAATTTCAAGAGACTTCAAAGTAAATCAAATGAACGCAAGCTCAAATATTTTATTAGTAGGTCATAAAAAAATCCCACTTTCCATGGTCTAGCTCCATTATTAGACCAGATTGATGGTATCAAATGATATAATCTCATCAGGATTTATATTCATTCAAATTATTCGACAATAAGTAGCTTAAAAAGTACTTCTGTTCAATAATTTTGATTACGTAGTTACATATTATGTATGTATGTATGTATATAAAAAGCTAATAGAAGCGTGACAGCTTATATAAAAAATATTTTCAAAGGCTTAAAAAGTGGGGCTATTCTAAGAAAGTATATTTTCGTAAGAAAGTATGTTCGATGATGAAAATTCTCGAAGTAATATATGTAGAGTAAGCGATATATTTTACTCACACTGTCTGTATAAAGTTTAAGAATTATATATAAGTTATTCTTGTAATTCAAATTCTTATAATAAAGCTCTAACAATTTGGATCAAATTTTGTATTTAGATAAGGTTTTAGATTTTAAGTATATTTACATATGTGTATACCCTAGGCGTGTTTTCTGAAAATCGTAATTATTACATATTTTCTGAAAATAAAACACGATTTTACAAAACGCCCAAAGCTGGATTGCTCATGTACTACTATATGTATGTCTTATACATCGAACAAAACTAACCACCAAAAAGCTTTCATTTATTGACTCAAAAAGCTGAACGAAAAATATTATTATTATTTCTTATTTTAGAACGTTAATGTTTGTTAATAAAAAAATACGAAAGCTTTCTTTCACTTTCTTTTAAAATAAATTATTGTAAGATACCAATTCAAAAACTATAGCTAACTATAACTAGCGATTCATCCTCACTCCGCTTGGGTTCGTCCCTAGATCCGTTTTAACGGTTAGTATATATTTCTCAGAGGTGAGATATTTTCCCGCAGTAAAAAGTGGCATATACGTTGATCTGGATAACCAGCTATCAACATACTAAATTTTATCAAAATCTCTCCAGTGGCTTTTTCATGATGGAATGGATGATCCGCCTCTGCATAGATAATAATGACTATATCAATAAGATTTTTCAAAAAAATATTTAATGTACAGATTCGAATCAGTTAGAATTTTATTATATGTTTAGATAATAACTAGGTTTTTGTTCTGGCTTCATGAAAATTTTTGGATATTAAACTGTTATAACATAACTAGCATTGCCCGCGGCTCCGCCCGCGTTCAGATGACCAAATTCTTAGGTTTTACATATTAGTATACTCTTACATTGCAGTTTTATATTTTTTCTCAGAAATGAGATATTTTCCCGCGGTAAAAAGTATCCTATATATTAATATCCTATATGTTGACCCGCATAACCAGCTATCACCATACCAAATTTCATTAAAATTCCTCCAGTGGTTTTTCCGTGATGCGGTAACAGACAGACAGACAGACAAATTATTCTTAAAACTATAGATTCGACCTCTGTATCGATAATAATGTCTATTTCAATAAGATTTTCCAAAAAAATATTTAATGTACCGATTCGACTCAGAATTTTATTATATGTACAGATATATAAGCTCCTCTATGTCTGTTACATATAAACGAAAAGATAACGCCGTTAGGAAAGAATAACCTTTTATCCCAAACCGGGATAATCTTTATGGTTAATAAATACCGACCATACATTGATTTTCATTTATTTCTTTATTTAATATCTTTAAAACAAGTATAAGAAAAATATAAACACATTCAACAGTGTAAAAATACTTAGTGAAACAAGAAAAATGCTGCCTTTATATTCCACCCGCGTCCTTTAATGTTGTAGAATTACTCAACTCCTATAGGTTAATGTGATATAAGATAAGCCTTATAACATTTCTAAATTTAAAGGCTATAAAAGAAAAAAGATTTTTTCAAATCGGACCAGTAGATCCAGAGATTGGCAAGTTCAAACAATTTCGACTGCTTTATATTTTAGTACATAGATAGGGCACTAGTGTTGCTAAATTAAAAGTACAGTAGAGTTAAATTTAACTTGATTTTTTTTATACGTTACATTCAAACTAAAGAGTCCGCCAAAATTAATGTCAAAGTCAAAAATAGTAGCGTGATTTGCTTTTTAAGCTATTAGGTATTCTCGATTTTGCCATACAGATTGTTTTCTTTCTTTATAGAATAAGGGAAAATTTATGTATATATGTATTAGTATATTTATATATATTATAACTGCCTCGGTGGTGTAGTGGCTAGCATGTACGGCTGCACACCCGGAGGTCCTGGGTTCGAGTCCCGGGTCGGGCCAAGTTTAGTTATTGAGTCTTCCTGTATAGTAAGTCTCAGTAACAGCCCGGAGTTGGGAAGTTGGCGGTGTTTCACCCCCGTGCCTCGGAGAGCACGTAAAGCCGTCGGTCCTGCGCCTTAACTCTCACCGGTCGTGTCGAGTGGTCGTCCCACCGGAGTATGAGAGTGATAGGAATAGAGAGTGCACTTGTGTCTGTGCGTATACTTGAGCACTATAATATCTCCTGCGCAGTTGGCTAATCTCATTGAGATTGGCCGCCGTGGCCGGAATCGGCTAGGAGAACATCATCATCATCATATTTATATATATATATATATATATATATATATATATATATATAAACATTACTTCCCTTCCCTTGAATAAGAGATAGTATAATATTAGCTTATTTAAACTTTTTATTTCAATAAAATCCGTTATCTATTTTTATTTATTAACATTTATTATTTATTTATCACTCAGTAAACACTACTACTATTTTGTAACAACGGTTAGTATAGATTTCTCAGAGATGAGATATTTTCCTGCAGTAAAAAGTATCTTATATGTTAACCCGGATAACCAAGTATCATCGTACTAAATTGCATCAAAGTCTGTCCAGTGGTTTTCTCGTGATGCGTTCCCAGACCAACAGACAGACAGACAAAAAATCTAAAAACGTATAGATTCGGCCTCTATCGATAATAATGACTATTGCAATAATATTTAATGTATAGATTTGACTTAGAATTTTATTATATGTATAGATTTGACTTCATATTTATTTCTATGATCTCTATCTACATTATTTCTTAGTCAGAGACCAATCAAACAAACGAAAAATGTTAATATGCAACAAACATTCTAATATAAAATGACGAGTGATAAATGTCCTCAAGATAGATTTTATCGGATGATACTCGAAGAAAATTCAACAGCCGACAACAATCTCGGTTCGTATAATTTTGTGATTAAAATTATTGCCCCATTCTCCTTCGAATCGTTGAATATCTTGACTGAAATGAGGTGCGCGAATGAAAATGTTTTTGTAGGCTGTTTGCTTGATATTTAAAGTAATATAGAATGATTGCTTTACTGATTGTTGTGAATGGGTCTCTCAAGTTTTGAGTAAGTAAATAATGTTAAGAGGGAAATTCTGTGTGTTTTAGACCCAAATTTTACATCAGTGGCCAAAGCAATTTTATCTCCATTCAGGGAATTTAGATAAGATCTAACTCTAAAATCGTTATTAGTAATGTTATAAAGCATGACGTAAAATGGCAAAACTAACAATAATGTTAGAACTGATGGTTCTAATCAACCCGCAACCTTTAATGATGTATGCGGATATAGAAGCACAGGATAGATATATAATAAACTAGCTACCCGCGGATTTGCTCGCGCTAAAACTATGAAAATAAAACTCTTTGCCTTTATGCTATTAGTAGTAATATATGGAAGTCTGCCTAATTTGTTGACATTTATGATTACTGCTCCGCTCCTTTAGGTAGTACTTTGGGTAGTGGTATGATTATATATAGCCTACAGCCTTCCTCAATAAACGGGGAATCTAATGCAAAAATATTTTTCAAACCGGCCGGTAACAGATAGTTCCTAAGATTAGCGGGTTCAAACAAAAAAACAAACAACAAAGAAACGAACAAACAAACAAAGTCTGCCTCTTTATAATATTAATAATGTAGATAATATCATTTGGTACTTTGAGTGCTCGTGCTTAAAATTGAATCGGATACACATTACACATACGTACATATACCTATTTGACCAGTGGTTGTGTTTTAGTTTGATTTAGCCTAGTGATTAATTACAGCAAAATGGATAATAAAAATAACCTTCCACAAGTGAAAACATCAAAATTTCAAAGCAATCAATGGAGAATTCAGAGACTTGCGATTTTGCACAAATGGACATTTACATTTTTATTTATATAGATAGATTTTACACTGATTTTAAAATTACTATTGAACAAAAATATATAAGAATTACTAAGAACCAAATGATATTCAGAACATGTTTTTCAATTTCAAACAATATAGCAATCACAAATAATTAAAATAGTAACAACGGGCAACACTTAAATTACTTTTCAATAATAGGCTCCAAGGAATTTGGATTTATATACAAACTTTTAATTTTAGGTTAGCTACAAGTAAATTACTTTCTATAAAGAAACGCCAACTGAATTCCATTTTAATATTTAAAGCATTAGAAGAAATTTTCTAAGCAACTTATCTATCACTTAGGTAATCTATACTTAATATTATAAAGAGGTAAAGTTTGTGAGTTTGTGATTTTGTGAGTTTGTGACGTTGTAGGGTGTAATCTCTGGGTATACTGAACGGATTTAGATAAAATTTGGTAAAAAGATAGTTTGAGACCCTGGGAAGGACATAGGATACTTTTTTTCTCGGAAATCATCCAGTAAGGGGTTGAAAATGTGGATGAAAGTTTGTATGGGGAATCAAGCTAGTTAGCTAGTCTCTAGTCTAAACTATAAAGAGACAGATGGTTGAAATTACACTTATACCAGAAAGACATTACCCAAATAACGACAAAAAACATGCCTGTAAAGGGACAGAGTTTCTCAGGACAGCCTACCACCACTGGCCATTTTTATACACACTGCGACTTTGATCAAAGAAATTGGATAAATTCATCAAAGTGTCAGAAACATTGTATATTCAATGATTTCTGACAGTTTCATTCGACCAAAATATGTAAGAATAAGCAATCGCCTCGCTGCTATCAAAATAAAATATTAGACAAAGGTATTGTAATAGTATGGACGCTATCGTCAAATTCATTTATTGAATTTTGGACAGAAAGGTTTAATAAAGTCTGTAATATACTAGACCAATGTCATATCACTTGCCATGTTTTCTGCTGTGCTCTACCCATGTGCAGTGTATTTTTATATTAATTACTAGCGATTCATCCTCGCTTTGCTCGGGTTCGTCCCTAGATTGCTTCCCCATACAAACTTTCATTTCTATTTTCATCCCCTTAAGGGATAATTTCCAGGATAAAAATCCTATATCCTTCCCAGGTTCTCAAACTATCTTCTTACCAAATTTCATCTAAATTGGTTCAGAAGATCCAGAGATTACCCCCTACAACGTCATAAACTCATAAACTTTACCTCTTTATAATATTAAGCATAGATAACTCAACAATTACAGATAACAATACTTACTCATCAACTATAAGAAATTTGTCCCCTTCAGATGAGAGACATCTGCCCTTATTCGAGAGTATAGCTCCATCGATCATGATCGGTTGTATCACACCAGATTGGAACCAGCGCCCTTGCCAGCGTGCTGGGAACGCGCAACCTGTGAATAGAAAAACAATAATTCCTTATACATGTTTATATATTGTATATAACTAAAATTAAAAAGAATCAAAAATCGAATTAAGTGCAAACTTTATAATTTTTGTTCGCGAAAAAAGTGACTTATAATTTGGGCCACGGTGGCAAATCTCGCTGAGATTAGCCAACCGCGCAGTAGATGTTATAGTGCACAAGTGTACGTGCAGACACGTGTTCTCCCTATTCCTGTCGCGATCATAGTCCAGTAGGATGACAATTCGACACGATGAGTGATCAGGTGCAGGATCGACGGTTTACGTGCTCTCTATGGGGGTGAAACATCGCTGCCTGTTACTGAGAATTTCTTAGCATAAAAATTCAAAAACTATAGGTACTTGGCTTGACCCGGCATTGAATCCAGATCTGCAGCTAGTCACTAGACTACTAGATGCAGTAATTAGATACTGCAGGCCAGGATGAGTCTATAGAACCCAAGATATTTGAACGTAAAGGTTCACGTGTAAGTTTTGATTATATTACATAATATTTGGAGATCAACTTTGGCCGGCATTTAATTGTTTTATTGTATTGATTTGTAACTCTGTAAGGAAATTCAGATGATAATATAATGATTTGATACCATGAAGCTATATGATTTTTTGTAGTATTTTTGACCAATTTGTACTAACACATGTAGTGAACATTGTATAAGTTTATTTTTTTATTTTGACGATACGTTTCGCTCAGTTTGTAGTGACCCTATTTGCTGTGCCAGCGGTCGCGGGTTCGAATCCCGCTGAGGACATTTATTTGTGTGTTGAGCACGAATGTTTGTACTCCAGTTATGGATGTTTATATTTATAATATGTATATATTTAAAGTTATATATGTGTAGTGTATCAACTTTCTGGTATCCATAACACAAGCCTCGTAGCTTACAATGGAACTAGATGGTGTTGTGTGTTAATGTCCTAACATATTTATTTATTTAAACTAAAATAATATAATAAGATAGAGTACGTATAAAATAATAAAAGTAAAACAAAACATAGTGTCAGGTTGTGTTTGCTTCTCAAATGGCGGTGGGATATTATTCTTAAGATATTAATAGAAAACTACTTTAGACGCCAAACACTGTGTTTTTCATGCTCTTTATTTATAGTGATCTTGTATTAGTATAAATAACTAATAGAAGCATTTTCTTTGCGTAGTTATTGAACATTATATATCTACCGTACTAGCGACTCACCCACACTTCGCTCGGGTACGGTTTAACGGTTAGTATGGAATGATATGGATGGATAGACTATATTGTATTATATATGGTCTAACGGGCTATCTAATGCGAAAAGATTTTTCAAATCGGATTAGTAATTCCTGAGATTAGCGCATTCACAGAAACAAACAAATTCTGTCTGTTTATAACATTAATATAAATATAGATTAGGCAGACCCAATAATTTAAACTAGCAGCTCTTGGGGTATGTATTATTTTGCATTATCACCTTTAGAATTGTTATTTCTTTTTATAACTACAGATTACATTGACTTCATATGACTCTAGTTCTTAGCCCCCGACGCAATAAGAGGGGTGTTATAAGTTTGATGTAGATGTCTGTCTGTCTGTGGTATCGTAGTTCTCAAACGGATGAACCGATTTCGATGCGGTTTTTTTCATTTGAAAGCCAGTTTCATTGCGGTGGTTCTTAGCTCTGTTTGGTTAATATCGGTCCAGCAGTGTAAGAATATCAGCTCTTTTCCAAAATAATGTAAGGCATTTCGGCGTATGATTACTCGATTAAGTGCTTCACGCGTGCCAGTGTAATCGTTAAATGGCAATTAATTTGCGTAGCAGGGTTTTTAAATTTTTAATTTATAATTATTATTTATTACCTCAAAAATCATGAAAACGGCTTACAGTTGACGAAAAATATCGTACAAAAAAGTAAACACTCGTATTGTGTACTATTTAAAAGAAGGCAAACCAATGACACTTTCACATCTATCATATTTAAACAAGGACTTTAATTCCCATTACCACAATAACCTCTAGACGATTCATCGATGAATGCCGCTGAGGTATAAATATTTCTAGGCACAGTAATGTAATTAACATATAAAATATTCAACGCGAACTCCAGCTTTCTAAGTATTGATTAGTGAGAAATTAATAACGATGGTTGATTAAGAAAAATCTAAAATAAATATAGCGTGTATTTATATTCACGTAATATGCTTTAATTTGCATAAGTCATGGTTTTGGCTTGGGTGAGTTATTTATATGAAACATGTATATTTTTAAATATATATAATACTATATAAAAAAATTTATACATATAAATTATCACATATAAATATTATAAATCCGAAAGTTTGGATGGATGTTTATTGCTCAATCACGCCAGAACGGCTGAACGGATCTGGATGAAAGGCACAGAGATAGATGATGGTCTGGTTAGCATATAGGTTACAAAAATGGTTCCCGTGGGATATCCATACTAGTCTTTATAACGTACGTATGGTGAGTCGCTAGTTATTTATAATTAAATATTTTTTTAGATTAACAAACTGTGACTTTAAGAGTAAACTTAATATCGAAATATGAGACTTTTCATAGTAATAACTACTATTAGACATATAAATTATTCATTCGAAAAAAATATTAAGTATGTTAAAATCTAAAAACTAGGTACATACACATTCCTAATCTTAGATGAATGAAAAAATAACGTTTTAAAAAATAATTTATTAATCTTGCAATTCTAATAAAATTAATTATTTTTGATAAAATCTTTGCATACAAGATATTTTAACATCAACAATCAATAATCGCTTTTCGAAAGCTTGATGTGTAGATACTAGATAGCGTTATCACCGAGATATTTCGTGGTCTGTACATTATTGCATGCCAATCGCAGCGATTTATTGAGATTTCGACAGCTGTGGACGAAGGCTTAGTTTGGCTGTGCATTTGAGCTTCTACTTCTCATTCTCGCTTGGCGAAGCGAGAGGCAGTCACGGTGTCTAAACCATACCAATTAATAACCGAGACACATATTATGTATACAAGAGCCAAGAGCACTCGGCAAAACGCGCGGTTTTGATATAGCGATCAAACGCAGTCTTTAAAACGCGATTCATGCGGTATAGTCACTAATGGCAGATTCTTAAGTACATATTATACGTTATCCACAAAGTTTAGTTATTAGCACTCCAATTAAGACAGAATTGAACATGCTTAGTGCGAAACTTGTGAAGTTGCTAACTATATAGGCAATTTGAATTGGAATATAGTATTACAATATACATTACACATGTATATTTAATTAAATGTTTGAATTGTAACTGATTTTTCTCTTAATGTATTAATCTATAAGTTTTTGCCAAAGGTACAATTTTCTTTTTAATTTAGCGCACAAGTAAAAAAGAACTAAAATAATACTTTCTTACATTTACGCGAATATTTGACATTTTAAATAAAACTATCTTTTCGGATTTTGTCGCGGATTTATTTGTATTTTTGTTTCCCGACGTTTCGAATGCTTTACAGCATCCATGGTCACGGGAGAGACTGAGGTGTTACATGTCTTAAAGATATAGTTGTTACAGACAGCCTACCCACAATTAACAAAATGAAAATTGCACCAATTACATTACAATATTTTAACTTTAAACATTTTTATAATTTTAATTATAATTGAATATGGAAAATTATTTATTTAATTTTTGCTATTATATTTATAATTATTACAATTTTAAAAATATTAATTAGTAAACTATATTTAGTGTTGCCATTATTATATTTATAACCATAAGAAAAATATAAAATATAGTATTAATTATTTAAGCCACAATTGATCTATGTGTAATTTGAAAAAGTTAAGATTAATTAAAAATAATAATTTTAATTTAAATTTGCTATTATTTAAAAAACAAATTATTAAGCAACACATTACTACATACATTTACAAATGAAAAAATAGTTTTAGAATAATAACGAAATATTTTATATCGTCTTAAAATCACTTTAAAAATAACAACTTCTTAAGGAAGAAATATCTATTGTTTATACTCTACCTAGAATGTGTTTATAACGTGAGTATGAATATATATATTCTAGGTTTAAATAAAAAAAAAAATGAAAATAGGTCTACAAATGCCAAACATAACGGGTAATATACCTACACATAAAACACACTTTCAAGTGAAGTACCCCCTTTTCTTTGAAGTCTATATAATATTTTGACCATTCGATACCCAAAAATCGTGTTCAGGATTGATTTTAATATGTAATTAAAATATTATTTTACAAGAATAACAGCAGCCATATAGTAATTTAACTACAATATATCCCTATCTTAGATTAGACATATTAATAAATCTAAGATACCTATAAATCTACTGTGTTTTAGTTTATTACGCGTGGGCCGTTTTTAGGTCGAAAGTAAAACAAGGGAGTTAGATTTACAATATCTATATACATATGTAAGTCTGCTTGTCCTGACTGTTCAAACGATTCCTTCAATGGCCTAGGCAAAATCACTTGATTCAACATGATGAAATTTTTGAAAATATTTTTAATATGGCATAGGTCACGTAGAAGGTACTGGAAGGGCTGTATAAATGTATATAACTTTTTTGGGTGTCAAAATAAAAAAAACAACTTTGCAAAAGATAATGTGACAGAAACATATAATAAAATATCGAAATACATACATATATTAAGTTATTCATGCTATAGTATTATATTGTATAGCGACGATTACTGCAGAGTGCACGCTTGATCGCTCCTTGCTTGCAGTTGAATAACCATAATACGGTTTATAGAACATAGTACTGCGTTATGTCACCTACAGAGTAGCGAACTTAATTATTGGCATTGGTTATTGGCGGAAGATCGCCAATTCGATACTAATACGAAATTAATATATACATTTAGCATATGATTACTGTGTTGTGAGTCTCCCACAATTCTAGATATAAATTATATATATATATATATATCTATATATATAAAAGAAAGTCGTGTTAGTTACTTCGCTTATAACTCAAGAACGGCTGAACCGATTTAGCTGAAAATTGGCAGGGAGGTAGTTTAGAGCCAGGAGAAGGACATAGGATACTTTTTATCCCGTTCGACCGCGTTCAAATTTTTATGATATTTTAATTTTTGGATTTCTCTTAGTCCGGAATAGGTAAGTATTAAAACATATAATTAAAATGTGAGAAAGAAAGATTTTTTTTTTTTTATATCTATTTAAAACGTACCTAGCGACGAACCCGAGCGAAGCGAGGGTGAGCCGCTAGTATATATATATATATTTGTATTTAATGTGTAATATACGATTATTTTTAATTTCGGGTTAAAGACATAAGATAGAAAGCATAAGCACAAGTAAAACACAGCTTATCAAGCCGGTGTCATACATAGTGGCTCACATAGACAAAAGTATACGTGATATGTGTATTACATATATATCTCATATAGTAAAAAAGTTATTAAAAACCTCTGTACATAATATTATGTTAATTTGTTAACTACAATTATTCATATTCTACATTTCTCATATATAAAATACTAGCGACTCACCCTCGTTTCGCTCGGGTTCGTCCTTATACAAACTTTCATCCCCATTTTCAACCCTTTAAAGAATGATTTCCGGAACAAAAATATCTTTCGTCCTTCCCAAGGT